AGCGAGCAGTTTGGAAACGACTGGCCGATCCAAACGCCTGTGGAAAGTCATCCACTTCTCCGCGGGGACGGTACCTCGATATCTCAGGCTTATCTTTGTCTGCGAAACAACAACCTCATTTGGCCAATTATCGAGTACCTGGACTCAGGCATGCCTCTAGGAAGGACGGCTACTGTACCTCGGCCGACGGATAGCCGGTACAGACTGGCCAGGTCGCAGAGTTCAGATAAGGCGCGCCATGAACTTAGATCTGCTCTCCCAGCTGAACGCCCACCATGTCCGCCAACACCTGGAAGTCCATCTCAGAGCGCAAGTTGGTGGAACGGGATGGGAAAATACCTACTGAATGGTGCATTCCATCCGACAAGTTACCGTCTGCATCTGTACGCGACGTGATACCTTTCGCGCGCGAGTCTGGCCTCTTCACGGCTCGAGAGCTCGAGATTACCGAATCACTCGCGACAGACATTGTGACGCGGATTACTGAAGGACAGTGGTCGTCTTTGGAGGTCACAGAGGCGTTCTGCAAACGCGCGGCGGTTGCACAGCAGCTCCTGAACTGGTACGTCGCGCACCGAATCTTGTGCACTCACATCTGAAGCTCCTCAGTCTGTCAGAACCGAACTTCGACGCTGCATTAGCGCGCGCGAAGGAGCTTGATGCTTACCTTGCCGAGCACAAGAAGCCCATCGGGCCCCTCCATGGTCTCCCGATCTCACTCAAAGACCAGTTCCGTGTATGTACTGTCGCCTCTTATTCCATCGTGACATTCACTGAGATGTGTGTGTAGATTAAGGGTCTAGATGCTACAATGGGATATGCTGGCCAGGCTTTTCAACCGTGCACCGAGGAGTCTACCCTCGTTCAGCTTCTACACGAGGCCGGTGCGGTCATTCACACGAAGACTAATGTGCCGACCACTCTTATGGTGCGCTCTGTCACGCTATTTACATCCACAAACTCATCTAGTACAGGCCGGTGAGACCGTGAACAACGTCTTTGGTCGTACTGTCAATCCCCACAATCGTGAGAACATTCCTGGTGCGTTCATCTTGTCAAACGTATCGCACACAAACGTATCGCACACACGAGACTCATACGAACTCAGGCGGCTCCTCCGGAGGTGAAAGTGCTCTCATCTCTTTCCATGGTAGTCCTCTCGGCGTCGGTACAGAGTTTGTCCATTCCTCCTTCCCAATCATGGACGTCACTAATGTCCTATGGAGCATCGGTGGTTCTATCCGTTCACCAGCTTCGTTCACTGGACTATGGGCTTTGCGTCCCAGTATCGGGCGTGTACCCTACAGAGTGCGCATACACCTTTCGCCAATGTAGCTACACTTACTCACGACATTCGTAGGGCGCCAATAACTCTTTCCTCGGCCAAGAGGCCATACAATCCACCGCAGGTCCTCTCTGTCATTCGCCCGCCGACATCCGCCTCTTTATGCAGAGCCTGATATCTACGCAACCCTGGCTACACGACCCCGGCTGCCTCCCCATCCCATGGCGCTCCGAAGCCGAGACCCTCTCAGAGAAACTCTGCTTCGCCGTAGCGACAGGCGACGACGTCGCAGACTCGCTCCCGCCTCTACGTCGCGCAGTCGCACTGACCCGCGAAGCGCTCGAGCGCGCAGGGCACAGGGTCATCGAGTGGACATGGGCCGACCGTCAATGTGCTCGGGCGCGCGACATCGTCATCAAGATGTGGAGCGCGGATGGTGGGGAGGATGTGAGGCGGCAGTTGGAGGTTACGGGCGAGACACTTCCCGAGGAGATCGTCGTCAACCCAAAAGGGACGCCGCAGACTGTTTTTGAGACGTGGCAGAACCAGTATGCTGCTGCAGACTTCAAGGCAGAAGTAAGCCTTCTCGATGCTCAGCTCGTGGAAATGCTTATGTTGGCTGTAGTTCCTGGCACAATGGCAGGCCACGGCTGCGGTCACCGGGACCGGACGACCCATTGACGGTCTGATCATGCCGTGCACTCCATTCCCCGCCAAACCTCACGGTGGGCGCTACCCATGGTTCTACACTTCCCTCGTACCTCTTCTCGACGTATCTTCCGGCGTGTTCCCCGTCACTCGCGTTGACCAAGAGCTTGACGTCCCTCGCGCTGGCTACGAGCCTTTTGGCGAGATTGACAAGCGCGTACACGATTCCTGTGAGCATCATCTCCTACATACTATTAATAGGCGCCGAGCTAATCATCAATTTAGACGCCGGCCCGGAGAAGTATTGGAACGCGCCCGTCGGGCTGCAGCTCATTGGGAGAAGACTCGAAGAAGAGAAGATCGTTGGAATGCTTTCCGAGATCGAGAAGGCTTTGAAGGCCGCAGATGTACATCCCTAACTATCCTCGACAAATTCGGGCCAACCGGCGCCTATCTTCATCACTATCAATCCCGCGTAACATTCGCATGCGAGCGGGCTGCGGCCTGTACATAGCAGCGCTTAGAACGCCATCTCGTCGCGTTCGTCGATCAATGCGAAGGACGTCTCGCCGGCGACGCATCGTCCGTCTCCGAGAACGGGATGATCGACATCGAGCCTGCGACCTCGTCGCCCGATCTCGAGAGATGATATACTAACGTGAGGATGACAACGTCCTATGATCTCATGATGAGATACGCGCACATGATTCTACGAAAGCGACACTGCTCACCATGTCCTCCTGTATCTCACTGTCTGCGACGTGAAGATACGCCTTGTGCGGCTGGCCCTTGAAGAACCCGCGCGACTTGTTGTGCCATCGAGCCGCTTCTGCACCGTCGGACGTGTGAAGCTGATGGTGGGCAGCGCGCTAAGTATCCGCTCTGAAGATGGGACTCGGGGGAGGGAGCTCACGACGTTCTCTACCCAGTAATACGCTCGACCAGACGTGCCCTTGAACTCGCGTCTACTGTGATGGAAGTCAGCCGCGCGCCAGCAACGAGGGATTGCATAACTCTTCAGAGATGCACGCACGCTATCGTAAATCCATGATTCGGAACGAAGTTCCGGGCGTCATAGTGCTGTCCATGAAGCATAATCTCGTCGTCGTCCATTGTATGCCACACAACCTCACCGACGACCGTGGCCACACTGATGCCCGTGTCGCTCCGGGGTTTGACGTGTGAGATCGTCGTCTGGCTCGTCGTGAGCTGCGACGCTGTAGTGATGCGGTATACGACGGAGCCCTTGTCGTCGACGAGCTCTGTCTTCTTGACGTTTGAGTTTGCTGTCAAGATGCATTAGATAGTGAGTGAGAGTAAACATGTGAGCATCACTTGAGTAGAGCTCCATCTGGGATCAGGGCAGAAGAGGCCTGCTGATGCTGAGTGGGCTATTATACCGCAAGAAGTGCGCTCAAGATGGTGTAGCAGTGTTTCCTCATCACGCCGCTGTATACAACAGTAGTGTCCCTAAGACACATCGAGCGCTAATAAAGCCACTCTAAAGCCTTCGGACGCATTCATACACAACGTAGCTTCAGGGTGCTTCCATTGGACAACGACCGTACTATGCTAAAGAGTGATGAACCGTACCCACGCACAACGATAACGAGGACATAAACGAGGACGCGCGTGTAAGGAACCATCCGGTACCGTGTCTGATGTGGCTACTAGTTCTCGCTAGCCAGTAGCTTGCTCGCCCGCAGTACCAGGATTGACATTACTGGCCCCACGAGCACTGTATCTCATCAAGTGGTAAACCAAAACGAGTACGATCTCGTCCTGTATCCGACGAATGTCTCATGAGCAAGTTCACACTCCGACTCGCCGACCACAAGTACGCACCAGATCGTCCAGGATCTCCAGATCAGCGATGTACAGGTATGCCTGATGAGCGCGTCCAGTGAAGCTGTGCGACTTTTCGTGCCAACGGGCCACTTCTACGCCGTTGGCCGCGTGGAGCTATAGAGATGGGCGCGCGATAAGTACCCGCTCTCTTGATGATGGCCAGGCGAAAGTCACGCACACTCGCCTCTACCCAGTAATAAGCGCGCCCTGACGTAGCTTTGAAATCGCGTTTGCTATGGGGGCATCAGTACATTCAAAAATGCGCAGGGAGCCTGGGATATTGTCCGAGACACTGCGCACGCTGTTGTGATCCCATGGTTTGGCATGAAGCTCTCTGCTTCGAATTGGTGTCCGCGAAAGGTGACCAGGTCGTCCTTGAATGTGCGCCATGCGATCTCAGCAATAGTCTCAGGTTGAGAATCAGCTCCGTCTTTAGACTCGAAGTGCGCGATAGTCGTCTTGTTTTTGACGAGATGTGCATGCGAGTCTGTATGGATGCGGTACACGACGGAGCCATTGCGGTCGACAAAATCGGTCTTGGAGACGTCGGCGTGGGCTGTGGACGAGCGTCAGTCATGATTATATGTGGAACAAAGGGGAGAGCATACTTGAGAACAGTTCCATGCGAAAGATGAGAGCGCCCGACCGGAGGCGCGCGGCGTGTCTTATATGACAGCCGGGATCAGTAGTTAAACTGTACAAGTGGGAAATCCAGCTCGAAGAAGGCTGATCGTTGCCTGTATATCGCGCTGCGTGAATTGTGCCTACGGCCCACCTCTACGTTGTTAGATGTGCGGAGCTATAGAGATGGTTCTGCGATTAGTACCCGAGGCCGCGATGAAACGATGCTACTGTAAACCTAACCCACACTTTCATTCGTCCAATAATAGCCGCGTCCTGATGTGCCTTTGAACTCGCGTTAATTGCGGAAATATGATGCATGAGTAGATGCATCGTTGAGATGGAGGTGATACGTACGCAGTCGTGATTCCGTGGTTCGGCATGGAGCTTTCTACCTTGTATTGCTGCCCATAATGACTGACCATATTGTCTTTGACAGTGTGCCACACGATCTCCCATACCGTCGCAGGCTGCGGTTCACGAAACTCGTCCTGGGACTTGAAGTGCGTGAGAGGATAGTTCCATGCGAAAGATGCGATAGAGCGGCGCAGGCAAGAGCGCTTGACGTAGGCGCACGGCGTCTCTTATGCGACAGCCTGGACCAAAAGAGTCAAGCCGCACGAGTAGAAGATCCAAACTGAAGGAGGTTAGGCGCTAAATATGTCGCGATGTGTACGTGGGGTCATGGAGCCCATGGCAAGTTGTAGAATCAGGTCGCTCCTCCGACCAGACTCATGCTCTGCGAGGGTATTCACAAGTGGCATAGCAGAGTCGGAAGCGGGCACGGGTACCGACAAAAAATAAGCAAGAGATGTATAGTATACACGAATCCAAAGTCCAAGAAAACGTCCGCGATGACATAGAGTGGGCGTACGTGTCTATATCCCACCTCCGGTACCCAGCACCAGTCCACCCTCCCAACTCCTCATGCGGACAACAACGTCCAAGCACCGACCAACACCGTAGTCGCCGCAGCCAACAACGGTGCAAAGTGCGGTGCACTGAGCAGTGGCAGTGCGGCGCTTATGGCAGGGAACGTCGTCGCGAAGTGGGCTGTGGGGTTTGGTGCGCCGGAGATCGTGACCGTGGGCGATGTGCCCGTTGCGGTTGTCCCGTTTGAGGACGAGTCTGAGCCAGAGGCGAGGATGCTGAATTTGGGCGAGGTCGCGTGCATGACGCCGTGTGTGGAGTTCACGTAGAGCAGGTAGTAGTCGTCCCCTGCCGGCACGTCGTTCAGCATTATATTTAGCGATCCCAGTTTCGCGTCGACTGTGGAGTATATTAGGGATGGTAATACAGTTAGGAGTGTAGTGACGCACTGTTCTGGGCGATGAGGATGAGGCCGTCGACGGATAATCTCGCGAGCTCGAGGTCGAACATGATGACACCGTCATTGACCCCCTTGGACCACGTCGTCATATACGTCTTTCCATTAACCCACTGCATATCCTTCGTCGGCGAGCTAACGTGGAAGTCTATCCAACAACAGTTCCAACTCAGCTCGCAGTCGTGATTAAATAATAAAATCGGAGATCTCACATGCATGGGCGGCGGAGGCAAGGGTGATGAGCCACAGCGCGGTCGCGGATAAAGAGCGGGAGTACATGAGTGCGGAGCTGGCCAGGAGAGTAATGAAGGTGCGGAGCGTGCGGGCGTGAAGGGGGCCTTGACGGTGGTAAGCGCGAAACCGAGATGAGCTAAACCCGAGACGGAGGGGCGGGAAACGCTTGATGCGCCCTCCGGCCCCGAGCGCCCGCCGGTCGCCACTGCCCGCTCCTCCGCGAGGTCCTTGCTTCTTACCGTCACGACGACCAAGTATCTTCATCCAACATTGGCACTCTTACCTGTCCTAAGTCCTTGGGTGCAATGTTGGAATATATTACAGCGTATCTCTATTACAGAGTCCGCAATTTGTGGAACGTCTAGCGTCCTGCCCGTTTACCTTCTGTCACTGTTCCGGGACCAATAATCGCGCACCGTTGATCTCGCGCCTTGAAAAGCAGTAGGCCTTGGACTGCGCATAGATGACTTGATTACGATGTTGATACCCACTTCACCCGACGGTCACTTGAAAAACGTACTTATGGTTCATGCGAGGTCCTGTAAACATCTTTCGATGCTGCTAGATAGACCAATGCATGGTATAAGGGTCATTGTGATTTATGCCCAAGCATTAATGGGGTAGTGGTAACCTGGGTCGTTGCCATCGACCCGCCGGGGGTTCGATTCCCCCTTAATGCATAATGGCTATTGTGTTGATTTTTTTCTGCTCTGCATACAAGACAGGCATTTTACCGAGAAGCCAGAATAGTTTTGACAATATGCAGTCAAGAATATTCTCATCAATTTTTACGCGCGATGCCATCCTGAAGTCAATGACGCCAGGTTAAGTATGATCGAAGGGCGGGAACGCGACAGTAGGCTTATAGTGCATTGAGTTGTACATACAAGACGTGGTGAGATGTATAGAATCCATATAGTCCTCCTGCTCGCCACTTTCCAGGCTTTCCAAGTTTCAGAGAAGGAAAGGCCTGCCGCTTGTTCGAGGTGGATCAAGAAAATGAGCCCAGGTCAACACCATACGTCAGGTTATTTCTACAGAGTTCAAAAGTTAACACACCGCCCGATCCCACAGAATGAAACGAAAGCACACGTACGAAAGCGGACTCATAGCATACAAATCCGCAACATCATCACCAACTAGCGTCCTATCCGCACGCCCGCTCCTCATCTCAAACCACTGCCGCTCGCTCTCTGAATCCATACCGCAGTCCCCGTATCCATAGCCGCTCCCGGGCTCATCAGACAGGCGCCATATGCTGTCTTGGAACGGTACCGTCCCGCCGTACTCTGCGAACGCAGGTGTTTGTGGCGTTCCGGACTGGCGTTGGAGAAGTAAGCGTTCGACGCGCTCGGGAAAGGCGAGACTCAGGCGGCAACGCCGCAAGAGGTCGGCGAAAAAATGATGATCTTGGGGGCGAGGGGTCAATCCAGTCAACGCGCTTGAGCTTAGGCTCAAGAGAGCGAGTCGACTTGAATGGGGAGAGGACCCGCGCGGCGTCGTCGCTTGAGCTTGACGAAGACGTGATGGACATGCCGGAGCCGGTGTAAGAGCCTGTGACGCTTGGGCCCACACCGTCATGAGTCTCCGTCTCGGCGGAACATATCTGTCGTACATCCCCAATCAATTCCTATGCGTCGACATGGGTATGAGATTGCGAGAGGTCCAGTATAGAGTGAAGTAACCGACCTCCTGCGCCTGAGCTTCATCCATCTTCCTCATCTCCCATTCCCGAATAACACGCCGATATTCCCTCTTGTTCTCCTCTACCTGAGCCTGAAGGTACCCATTATGAATCTGCAGCCTCAGGCGCGTCACCGGCACTCCCCACCCTCCAAGCTCCTGACTGCACCCACGGAACCCATCATCCTCCACGAGCTTCCCACGCGCGAGCCTATCCCTGAGATACTCATACTCATCTGGAATCGAAGGGTAATCGTAGCCGGAGACTGCAGGCGAGGGGACGGTGCGGTTTGGAGGCGAGTCGGGTGGGGCGCGGCTGGATTCGACTGTCACGCGTGGAGGTGTTGTAGGCGGTGTGTGTTGCTCGGGAGAGGGGTTTTGTTGGGGCGTTGCGTTTTGATTGTACTCCCAAGGCTGCGGTGCCGCTTGGTGGTGTACAGGAGGAGGCGGGATGTACGGGCTCTGCGTCTGTTGAGGGTTCGGGTAGAAGTGGGTCTGTTGTGGGGGCTGCCAGTGATGCTGATGAGGGCCAGGTAAAGAAGGGTTCGGGTATGCGCCGTATTGAGAGTGTATATCCGTATTCGACTGTTGATGAAATGTCGAGCGGTGTGTGTCATGAAGGGTAGACGAATACGAGTGCGAGGATTGAGTCGAGTAGTGAACCTCGGCGGGATCTTGTGTCCCAGGGAACGCGATGGATGGTCCTGGGAGATATTGCCCACCGCGCCACGCGCCACCGGCTGGGTTCTGAGCGGGCCACCGTACGCTGTTCGGACCCACGCCGGGTCGGAAGTGTAAGGGGTACCCATCGTGGTTGTAGGTGTGTCCGGGGTGAGGCTCCCTAGATTGATTTTGTGAGTATGGGTGCGGTACAGGCGGACGAAACTCAGCTTGATAGTGAGCCGCTGGAGGTCGCGCGTGATGGGTCGTATGGTTATACGGGTGATACTGCATCGTCGCGTCGAGGGTCAGTGGGCAGTGTTGCTAGGCATATATCGCAAGGATTGGGCACAGCTGGAGTCAGTGGTTCAGGGTTCGAGAGATACGCAGAAGCTTGCTGTGTCGAGTCGGGTCGTCGCCTGTATAAGTAGCCCTGCGCTTTGGCAACCTACCAACATCACGAGAGATCGGTACCACAAAGCATGGCGACAGCAACTGGGCCAAAATCATAGTGGCAGAGATAACCACTCTTCTCTACACGCCACAAAGGCCTGTTGTATAGTATACGACGAGTATATTGGTACGAGCGACAGGGATGGTGGTAGTTTCCGGTAAAGAACTCACGCGCCACTCGGACTCTATCGTACCGCAAGGAACCGTGCCAAGACCGCGCCCGCGTCGCGCCCTGCCCGAAAGAGACTTGCGGCCGACCATGACCATCATCATGATCTGCATTCCGCACATGCCAATACAAGCACCTGCCTCTGCCTATCACTGGGCGGCCCTGCTCCCCATTCTACTCGCGTTCTGTCTTTAGCCCTTACCTCACAACTTATTCCTTCACTTCGAGTTGGGCCTATGTTCTACTGCTCTTGTTGAGCGCATCACTACTATTGGTTGGCATGACATCCGTTCTGCGCCACAGGCGCTTTCAGGCTGTCTTGATTCCGGCAGCGCTCATCGTCACTGGCCTCGTCTACCTCGTCAGCCAGAACCACTACCAAATCCGGAACGCGCTGTCGTACGCCACGCGGCCCCTATGGGACACAGCAGACGGCCCGAGGGATATCATACCGCATTATTACGCCGACGGACTCGGGTACGACGAGCACACGTGCAGGTTGCACGGGTGGGAGCAACGGGGTAGTGAGGAGAGGAGAGAAATGAGGGTGCTGGACGCGGTGCTGATGAGCAGCGAGCTGGATCTGCTGGAGATCAGGCTCAACGAGCTGGACGGCGTCGTCGATCGCTTCTTCATCCTCGAGAGCAACGCGACCTTCACGGGACTGCCCAAGGAGACGTACTTCGCCAACAACCGAGAGCGCTTCGCACGGTTCAGCCACAAGATCGAGTACAGGCGGATCGACGGCCACCCTCTCGCACAAGGACAGACAGCATGGGACGTCGAACGCGACACGCGCAACACGATGACGGAGCTCATACGCGCGCACATCAATACTCTACCCCCACAAACGCCCGCTCTAGTCCTGATGTCCGACATGGACGAGATCCCGTCCCAGCACACAGTCTCCCTGCTTAAATCATGCCACTTCGGACCCTCAATCCACCTCCAGCTCCGCAACTACCTCTACAGCTTCGAGTGGTTCCTCGGCTTCACATCCTGGCGCGCTCAGGCGCATATCTGGGATAACTCCAAGTCTTACTACCGGCACTCGATGAGCGGGGACAGGGCCCTGGCGGATGCGGGATGGCACTGTTCGTACTGCTTCAGGACGATCGAGGAGTATACGATCAAGATGAAGGGGTTCTCGCATTCGGATAGGATTGGGGGGCGGTTGGAGTTGTTGGATCCGGGGAGGATACAGAAGACGATATGTCAGGGGGCGGATATATTCGGGATGCTCCCGGAGGCTTATAACGTGCGTAATCTGGCTGTCTGTACGAGAGGACAATACTGATGTTCTTAGTAGTACGTGGACTTGCTACAGCAGATGAGCTTGGAGCCACAACGAACAGGCGTCGGGCTACCACGCTATGTCGTGCAAGAATCGGAGAAGTTCAGGTTCTTGTTACCGGGAGGATGTCTGCGCAATTGAGGCGCGCAGGGCGCACAGTATTGAGAGAGTATGAAGAGAGTGCCATCCGCATGATGCGCACGGGGAGAGATGCTGGAATTACCGACCTCTTCAAGAGCGTCTTGTCGATCTTTTGAATGCTGATCTATCGTACACTGATTTTGCTATATTTATATCATATATTCGATTCGAGCAAGAACATGACTTCATTTTGATTGACAAGTGATACATGGTGCGCATGGGCGAAACGCGAGACAGGGTATAACATAATGATATCCGAGAAGACGCCAGCGCCAAGAGATCAGGGTATCGGGTGGAGGATAGATGATGCTCAGAAAGGGAATCCCGCCGGAAGACCAACAGTGCTGTTCTGCGTTCCCTGAGTAACAGTCAAGCCGAACGGAAGAACGCCCTCAACAGGGAGCTGGTTCGGGAGAGTGAAGTTGAACTGGCGGGCCTCGACGTCGGCATCACGCTTGAACGGGAAACCCGACGGAAGGCCGACGGTGCTGTTTTGTGCACCCTGAGTGACCGTGAGGCCGAAGGGGAGCGTGCCGGCGACAGGGAGCCGGTTGGGCAGCGTGAAGTTAACTTGCCTCGCCTCGACGCCGTCATCGCGCTTGAAGGGGAAGCCCGCCGGAAGACCAACGGTGCTATTTTGCGCGCCCTGGGTGACAGTCAAGCCGAAGGGCAGGTTGCCGGCGACAGGGAGCTGGTTGGGAAGAGTGAAGTTGAACTGGCGAGCGTCGAGGTCACGCTTGAACGGGAAACCCGAGGGGAGTCCGACGGTGCTGTTCTGTGCGCCCTGGGTGACCGTGAGGCCGAAGGGGAGCGTTCCCTCGACAGGCAATTGGTTGGGTAGAGTGAAGTTGAATTGGCGAGCGTCGAGGCCGCCGTCGCGCTTAAATGGGAAGCCGGAGGGCAGACCAACGGTGCTGTTCTGGGCACCTTGCGTGACTGTGAGGCCGAACGGAAGCGTTCCCTCGACAGGCAGTTGGTTGGGAAGGGTGAAGTTGAATTGGCGAGCCTCAAGACCGCGCTTAAATGGGAAGCCCGAGGGGAGACCGACGGTACTGTTTTGGGCGCCCTGGGTGACCGTGAGGCCGAAAGGTAGGGTACCCGCGACAGGGAGTTGGTTGGGCAGGGTGAAGTTGAACTGGCGAGCCTCAACACCCTCCTCGCGCTTGAAGCCGAACTGGCCAAATAGCGTCGAGTTGTTGTTGCCCGTAACGATACTGCCTGAAGGCGTCTGGGGAATGATGGTGATGCCGTTCGGGAATGCGCCGGAGACGGGGATATTGTTGGGGATGTTGACCGAGAATTGCGGGGCCCGCGCTGCCAGAGCGGGGGTCGCATCATTGCGCTTCATCCTGAGTGCAGGTCAGAATCATGTGGATGCACGTAAGAAGGATGAAGTGCTTACGGGGCAGGAACGGCCTCGACTGCAACGCCAACGGCGAGGAAGATAAGGGTGTAAAAGCGAGTAGAGAACATGACTGGATCGAAGAAGAGAGAATTGGCTGTAGAGTTGAAGAGTAGGATGTGATGTGCTTGGTGTAGACCTAGGCAGTCGGGTCCAGTCGTTATATAGGCACTGTGAGATCCCCTATGGCAACGGTGTGAGTGGTATGGTATCCGAGATGTCTCGGGTAGGGCGAGTTCATCGAATAGGGAGGGTGAACGGCGAGCATGATACATGCCAGCTGCTGACCCTTGCCACAAGGATTTGAGAGGCGGCGCATAGCCATATAGCGTATTCATGCAGCTGAATACTCAATGGCTCACGTTCTCTGTGTTAATGCGGCATGGTGTTCATACGCATAGCGGCAGGTCCGGATACCTTATTTTCAAGGCTTCCTAGGGGCTCCTAGGGGTTATGACGGTTCCGAGACCTCAGCGTACCCGCAGGGGTGTCTGAACGGTAGCTGGTTTTCGGGCAGTTGTAGGATCATGTCCTTCAGCGAAGTATGATTGTGCAGATCTATTGAAGGAGACGATGGTGGTAGGAATCAAGCGATCGAGTAGACGCCGCGCCGCGGGCGCCACGCGCGGCGCCGATGGTCGTAGCTTTGATCCGACGTCGCCGAGATGTTCGCCTGCGTCTTGCTTTCGCCCGTCATGTCTTCCCTCCGTACAGTGCAAATCCTTCATCAATATGATGCATCATCTGCACATAACCGTTTTGTAGGCGGGCGATGGAACGTACGAAGTTGTATAGTTCGACATGGTCATATTCATTGACAGCATATACGGTACAAGTACGACTCCAGAAGCAACAGTCTAAATGGTAAGCATAGCAGATAGACATGTGACGATGTACACTTCGAGAGGAACAGAGATATACAAATCAGATACGAAGTGGGTAGATCGAGAGTTCGAATATCGCAGCGGGTGAAGCAAGTATCAAAGCGAAGATGGTAAGTGCGACAGCGAATACAAGCAGAGTATTGAAAGCTGAGCGTTGGCGAGGCGTGACAGTCGTAACATGTTGGTTTGTGCGTATCGGAGAGATCTATCTCGATGATTCAGCATGATAATACAGAGGATTATGATATCAACGCACAGCGGCATCTGGAATTGGGTTCGCCCCGATTGCATCAGGCTGCTGTTGTGCGTCGGACCCCAAATCGTTCTCGTCACGAGCAGGCATCTTGTTGAGATCTTCCTTCGTCATGCCGTTGGAATCGGAGGCGACGGCAGGGGAGGGGCTCCGAGGCCGCTTCAAAGACGGCCTAGTGAACGGCATACACGATTTCTGGGCAGGGATTGCGACTTGCGGGTCACGGCGTTCCTTCCTCCAGGAACGAACCACTGGTAAACGCGCCTCCTCCACTCGTCGTCGTTTCATAGGCTTGTCTGAGTGTTCACGTCCCCTGCGTTTGACTGGTACCGCGCGCTATATATCGCATCATGCGTCAAGTCTGGGCATGACAAGCTAGAACATACTCACGCGAGCTGGGCGTGCATCTCCTGAGAGACCTGAAGGAACAAGGGCATCAAGGGGCGGCAAGGCGTTGGACGACGGCGATGGAGTGCGTTTAAATTGAGGTATGATCACGCGTTTGGGGATTGCGACATCATCCAGAACGTCGTCTTTCGCCGAGGAGGGAGAAGCGCAGGAAGAGTGAGCATCGGTCGTGTCTCCAATAGCCGGGGGCGCGTTTCTTCCTGCGGGGTGCAGCTCTTCGGAAGACGCAAGAGAGCCGCTCGAGTCCGGACTCGAGTCCCTATCACCTACTTCATCGCCGTCTGCAACGAGGACCGCCTTCTCAGATGCATGGAAGTCCTGCTCTTCGGCATCTGCAAGATCGTCTTTCGCAGTCTTCGGGCTCGCTGACCCGTTCTGTAGAGCCTCAACTCGAGCTAACGCCCGACGCGCCGCGCTCTTGCCCATGATCGCCCCAAGCACATCCACTCGCCTTCGCCCGTCTAGCACGAGTCTGGGTAGCCCGGCGTCTGCTGCTGTGGCGGCTTCGCTAGCGAGTCTTTGCGGTTCGGCCCACTCTTTGGTGGTACGGTGTCTCCTGACGCCTGGATGAGCGCGGACGGTGATGTGCGCAGAAGCAGCGGCGATGAGCGTCCGGATGTGGTAGGAAGCCAGCGTGGAGACAGTGGCAGCGAATTCGGTGGAAGAGGATACAACACGGGGGCTATTGATCACTAAACAAGCCATCAGCGATATGAAGGGTCGCCAATAAGGACAGATCACTCACCGTCTGCCGCATTTGTGTTCGAGGTGATCACCACCACCCTTGTGTTGGGGTCCAGCGCATATGGCAGAGCATCTTCCACAGCCAGCACGATAGCCTATAGGTCAACGCGACAGAACATATCAATCAGCGACCAGACATCGCTGAGGAGCTATAAGCGACTCACAAGCAGAGCTCCATCGATCTCACAGTGAGCTTCGACCCGCGACGTCCGATTACGCACGTCGTCCGGTCCCCACCAGATGCTATATCGTGCGCCCGCCTGTCGGCTTCTCCTGTTCACGGCGCTGTACGCGTAAACGAAGCTTTCTCCTTCAGACGGTCCAGAAGGCGGCGTCTCTTCGAAGACGGACGACGGGCCCTCAGCCTCGTCCAAGTCGGGCGCGTCCTCCGGTGATTGAACTGAACGCCGATGTCTTGAGCGTTTCTTCTTTGCCTCGGGGATTGGTGGAAGTAGAGGCTCGATCTGATACTCGGGGACGAGCTCTGGATCCGGCTGAAATACGGGCGGCCCTTGCCTCGCTACGACATCTGGAGGCGCGGTCTGGCGTCGCATAGGTGTCGGTTTGAAAGGAGGAGGGGGAGGATTGCGTTGAGGGAAGGGAGGGCCTGCAGATGGTGGTACAAAGTGCGGATTCGCATGCATGCGCATAGGAGGGGGAGGCATAGGTCGTGGCGGAGCATAAGAATGTCGCATAGGTGGTGGTGGAGATAGTTGAGGCACAGAAGAATGGTATACAGGAGGCGGAGGCGGAGGAAACATGCGGGGGTCTGGCATCGGTCCAGCGGAAGGAGTGAATTGACGGCTCGTTGGTGGCGGGCGCATAAGCACAGGAGGAGGGAGTCCTGGCGGAGGATGCCGAAAGGGCGGAGGAGCAGGCAGAGATGCCGGCGAGGTATCTTGCATGGGAAGTCTGAATTGCTCAGCGTTCGGATTGAGAGTGCGTGCATTACTCTCATTGTTCGCCGCGTCAGCACTACGAGGCACAGAGTCCACACCGAGCCACCGTGCGACGTTATCGGGATGTGTACGCTCTATCGAGCCGTCTAAGTCAGAGAGGACTGGAGAAGGTGCACGAGTCGAAGGTTCGGGTGGTACGAAGGGATGGAACTGCAGCCCAGGTGGTTGAAATGAGAGCCGGGGCGTTACATCTGGTGGGACGTGCGACTTGAACAGCCTTTCAAGACTTCCATGTGTCATAGTTCGCCGATGAGCCATACTATCCGTGATACTAGATGGGATGTACGGGGTGGAGGTAGAGCGCATGTGGTTCGCGGTCGTCGGCCCGGACTGTGGCGGTGGTGCAAGGGGTTGCAGTAGCCGTTTGCCTCGAGCATTCGGTCGCGGCTGAGTGTTGTCCGGAGAAGATACAAGAGTCCGAAGCCATTCCAGCTCATCGTCGTTGTCAGAGCGCTGCATATAGACCCAAATAGGTTCCGCATCGCGCCGCCATGGACGGTGGCGCACGAAGAACGCGACGATCGCTCTGCGTCGCCGCGTCGTCTGTATTTCCCAGTTAGCCTTCATCCCCCTCTCAGAGAGACTGAGTACAGACCTCCGCATCGTCCTTCATATGTCCGCAGGTTCTCCTCGCTGGTGGTGGTCGAGGAGCAAAAGACAATGGCCCAGGGACCACACCCGCCACTAGCGCGCATCAAAACTAAGCGCGTCAAGTCACGCCGCGTCGCGACCCCGTGACATCGAGCTTCTTGACAGCTTCTGAGCGCCCGGCATCGGCCAGCCCGACAAGCGCTCGCCCATAAATTCCTCGCGAGCGATCCAGAGCGACTCTTTCCTCAACGACCACCTTCGACTCTCCTCCACGTAACCCCTCAAGCTACCCCCTGCCTATCAAGATGCCGAAGGTCGCTACCAGTACGCGTCCACTTCCCCAACCTTCTTTGACGTGATCTTTACTGACGCGTACGCGTATAGTAAAGAACACCAAGGCCGCATCCAAGCCCATCTCCAAGCCTATCGTCGAGAAGAAGGCTAAGGTCAAGGCTGCCGACGACAGTAGGTCTTTTCCCTTCCTTCCTTCTCCTTTTCACGCGCGTCGTCGCGTTATCGTGCGCATACATTCGCGTTTTCACTTTGGCGCGCATATACGCGTGTCCTCCCCGTCCCATCCCTGTTCTCCTGCAAGCTTCCTGACACGCTCATTGCTGCGCGCGTATAGAGCCAAAGGAGAAGCGCGAGCCCACCGCGTACGATCTCTTCCGCAAGTCGGAGAACCAGAAGCTTAAAGACAGCGAGCCCGGGCTCGACGCCGAGGCGCGCCGCAACAAGGTTAGCTTCTTCTCCCTCTCTTCCCCGCAGTCCAATTTGCTGACATCAACTCGTAGATTAGCGAGGCCTGGCTCAACCATCCCGACAACCCCAACCGCGGCAAGCCTCGCAAGCCCCGCGCACCCAAGAAGAAAAAGGACTCCGAGAACCGGCCTGCGCGTGAGCCCCAAACTGACAGCTCGAGCTTGCCGCCATCGTCGCCCGTAACATCGTCGCCCTGATCTCGTACCCGTCGGATGGAGTGGGATATTTTTATAGTTATCTATCTTGGACCCGCTTCGTCGAGCTCGTCGTCAATCATGCTTTGCTCGCTGTCTGTATGCGCTTCGTCATCGTCTGTACCATAAGTAGCTGGATCGTGGAATGCATTCGCGTGGATTCGTCATCAGATCTACATCCGAATATAGTCAGAGCCACACTTCGTACCTAGCGAGCTCGCTGTCAAGATGTAGACACCCGATCGTCGCGCGCATCAAGCGCTCGTGTCAAAAAGCATATAGTATGATATACATTCCGCATCCTAAATCGACTAACGTACAACAAGCATCGTACACTCCACATTTTCCTTCTTTCCTTCTACGCTCAGAGCCCAGTAGGGCTCGCATACCTTACATCGACGCGAACATAATTGTTGTACACCTCTCCGGGCGCGAGGATCGTGTCGTCGCCCGACGGGTTGGCGCCCGGGTACAAGAATGCCGCGAGCGGCTCGTGAAACTCGAGGAAGACGGCGCTGTGTGGCGGGTATCCTTGGTTTGGGCCTGGCGCGCCGGCGCCGCCGTGGATGCGCTTCATGCTGCCGTTCGGGTCGGAGAAGTTGTGCGAGTAGAATTGAACTCCCGATTCTGCATGTCGAGTTCAGTATACCTGCGCAATTAGGATAACAGGGGGAATGACGTACGGTTGGTACCGAAGACGAGCTTAATGCCGCTCTTGGAACTTGCAAGCTCGACAACGCCATCAGCCGCACCGGGCGAGAGCACGTCGCGCACGCCATCAAAGCCGGCGCTTGCCAGCTCTGAGCGCGCAAAACGGTGCTTGCCGGCTGTACCACGAGGCTCGCGCTTAGAGAAGACGTAGAAGTGATCTGCAGAGTTAATCTCGGTATCAGTGACAGGGAAGATCAAGAAGTCTCCTGAACATACCGTAGCCTTCCTCGCTTGGGAATCCCTCGCCGATCTTCTTCCCGTCGTGCTTGTGGCCTGTTCCCTCAACGCTGACGTTTTCGCCCTTCGGCAACTTCAGTGCGTCAACACCAGCCGTGTGCGTAGCGTCCATCTTCAAGTTGTGTCCCTTGACACCGACCTCGCCATCCTTCAAGCTCGCATCGAGGTTGAAGCCCCAGTGCTGCGTCAAGTTGACGGGCGTGACGACCTTCTCGCCCTCGTCTAGCAACGCCGCGCGGTACACCATCACCACGCCACCCATATCGTACTCCTTCGTCCCCTCAGCCGGCTTTCCTTGGGGCTGCACCAGCCCAACGGCAACCTCGACGAGTAAAGCACCAGGGTATCCTTGATCGCCGTCCTCGCTGATCGCGCGCCACAGCGCACCCGCGCCCTGCGGGAAAGCGCTCTGCAAACTCTTGATCTCCTCCGCACTAAACAACACACCTGGCGGGCTATCCCTCTTCACCTCCCCCTCGCCACCCGCAACAATCGCATCGAGCGGTACAGGCTCAAACACGAGCTGATCGAAGCCCTTCGGTCCGCCATGTAAAGATACAGTAGGCGTGTGCGCGGGGTTGGCGATGGGGTTGATCGTGGTGCTTAGCCCGTTCTTGCTGATCGTGTGCGAGCCGACCGGGACACGGTTCGTGTAGCGCCCGATGAGCGTGTTGGTGTACTTTTGGGTCGAGTGGCCGGTAGGTGCTTCGGGGCCGACGACGAGGTCGTGTGTGCGGCCGTCGGCTTGGAGGAAGAGGCGGTGAAGCGTCAGTCCGTGCGGGAGGAACTGTGGGGGAGATCAACATCAATCTTGACTCGTCTAAACCTGTAACAATCGTACCTCTGCAGCCAGCGACGGCGTAAGCGAAGGTAGCTCGAGCAGGAGCGGCTGGTACGCAGGGTCAGAATCAGTTGCCATCCTTATTCCAAACTTTTAGGTGTCTCTCTGCAAGTAAAATGCCTCAAGCGGGGCGGAGATCGAAGGTGGTGGAGAGAGACAAGGACCCAAAGCGTTATCTGTGCTCGATCATCGTCCCCCGGGATGACGAAGGCGGGCCGTCTGGGGAGCACCCGACCCGCCCGCCGGAACGGAGCTTTCTCGGCGCCGGGGCGGGACGGACCTCGGTGCGCCGCCGGGTGCCTTTCGTGGGCCTGGAACGGGGTCACATTGCGATGGAGAGTTGAGGTACGTGGTGGTACATGTGTATATACAAAGCGGGGAAGTCAAGGTAGTACAGGTACACGGTACAGGGCGGGTGTAGAGGTTGAGTGTAAGTAATCGACTGATATGAGGTTTGGGGTCTCGATGGGCGCAGCCTTGATTCTGTCGCGTCGCCACCTGCTTGACGCGCGTCTGCTCCCATCGGTCTTCAAGATCGTCAAAGGGAAAGAGGAGTTCAGATGTCAATCTGTAGTGCTCTGAGCGCTCGTTCAGCTGTAGAGCCTGCAGTAGCTCTTACGAGTGGCTCATTCATATAATCTTCGATCTCGTTATGCAGGTTCTGTGTATGCTCGCGCATTGTATCATCGGGACTGGCATAACGCTGAAGCCAAGCTTCCGCGGCGGCGCGAGAGCTGAGTTTCTTGTACACTGCGCCTGGGTGGTTGCGTACTCGCTCCAAAGTCTCCGCCCTATCGCAGTTGAGTGCAGTGTATCACAGACCAAGAGCGTAGAGAGTAAGTCGAGTATTGAAGTTGATGAGAATATAATGGTAGAGAATGAGTGCAGGTCGCAGTCTCATCGCGATAAAGCGTACCAAGTCGTGAAAATTCCGCGCTCGCGACCGATATGTACGGCAAATACAGAGTCTCCGTGCTGAGCCATGATCAAGCTACAAGTAGAAATATGGGATGGTGGAGGTTCGAAGTTGAGTGGCGCGCGGATGTCAAGCGGCCCGTGCGCCGCGCGCTTCTTGACTTGGAACGACCATTGTCCATTGTGGCGTACCACGGCCAGACCATGACGGGCTGCGCGTGCTTCACCCCGTTATTGATATCGCCTACTTGACGTTCAGCCTAAGTCTAGTCTGTAACATGCTTGTGCTCATGGGCCTGAACTAGCCGTTTACGCTCGAACCTCCTGGCCGCGTTCGTATGGAACGACAGACGATATACTTGATGCGATACCGAATCCACTGCGTACTGGACGTACTATCTAAGGAACCCCTCATGCATCATGGTCAATGGATACAAACGAACCGGCAGTGTCTCGGGCATCGGTTTCTGGATCTGTCTCGGGGCGGGACGACCAGGCTGAACTCCTGAGCAACCAGTCGCGCCCGAAACATGGCTTGAGGGTAAGGAACCCACACCGACATTCCTTCGATACGGACTACTGAACATTGCATCTAGGCTAGTGCTACAGTCTAGTTGGCCAGCAATATAGTGTGCATGGGCGACAGCGTCTGCGGCACGCGCTCGATTGCGCCTGCTAGACACGGCGCGTTCAGGGGCGCGCGCTTCGTCGACTTGGGTTTCGGATGTACTCGACGGCCCCTACGCTACTAGGAGCCATACAAGCCCTATATAAGCGCCAATACATGGCTCTACTTCAACATCATCAGCTTCACAACCATTCTCTACTCCCACACACAACTACTCTTCATCACTCACACCATGTTCTCTACTCGCATCTACACTCTTGTCTTCCTTGCGGTTGGCATTGCCGTTGAGGCCATTCCCGCCCCGTAAGTACCTCCCATGATACCTCTACGTCCTTGACGCTTACACGCGCCCAGGATGAAGCGCAACGACGCGACCCCCGCTCTGGCAGCGCGGGCCCCGCAGTTCTCCGTCAACATCCCCAACAACATCCCCGTCTCTGGCACGTTCCCGAACGGCATCACCATCGTCCCGCAGACGCCTTCGGGCAGTATCGTCACGGGCAACAACAACTCGACGCTTTTCGGCCAATTCGGCTTCAAGCGCGAGGAGGGCATTGAAGCTCGCCAGTTCAACTTCACGCTCCCGAACCGACTTCCCGTCGCTGGAACACTGCCTTTTGGTCTCACCGTTACCCAAGGCTCGCAGAACAGCACCGTTGGTCTGCCCTCCGGCTTCCCGTTCAAGCGCGGCGTTGAAGCTCGCCAGTTCAACTTCACACTCCCAAACCAACTCCCCGTCGCTGGTACCCTACCCTTCGGTTTGACCGTGACTCAGGGCGCGCAGAACAGCACCGTCGGTCTTCCTGCGGGTTTCCCATTCAAGCGTGACGGCGACGTCGAGGCACGCCAGTTCAACTTCACGCTCCCCAACCAGCTGCCTGTCGCCGGAACATTGCCCTTTGGCCTCACTGTTACTCAAGGAGCGCAGAACAGCACGGTCGGCTTGCCCTCGGGCTTCCCCTTCAAGCGTGATCTCGACGCTCGCCAGTTCAACTTCACCCTACCCAACCAGCTCCCTGTCGCCGGCACGTTACCCTTCGGTCTTACCGTTACTCAGGGCGCGCAGAACAGCACTGTCGGTCTTCCTGCGGGCTTCCCGTTCAAGCGCGATGACGGTGTCGAGGCGAGGCAGTTCAACTTCACGCTTCCGAACCAGCTTCCTGTCCAGGGCGTGCTTCCTTTCGGCCTCACTGTGACTCAGGGCACGCAGAACAGCACTGTTGGTCTTCCTTCGGGCTTCCCCTTCTGAACGATACGTACTACTGGCCGTGTTACGATTATACCCGTATCTCAGTGATGGCGCTGGCGCTTTGTTCTATGCTTTATACCCTTCTTCAACATATGAATGATCCATTGCAATCAAAATCCAATAGGACGTGAATATACTTCATCATTTCATCATTGAGCGTGCAGTGAACCGTTCAGTGACCAGTGTGCAATCCGGGCCGGTTCTTCCGACTCGCAGAAGCGCGATCAGGTGAGTTACCGTTCAGCGCGATCACCCGCGCCTTTGCATCAATGCACCCTTCTGCGTTCGACTCAGTCTATTGCACATGGATTCCATTGCTGCGGCTCCGAGCACCAATTGATTGAGGGTACAACTGCACTATGATACGCGCAATTCCGTCCGACGGTCACTTCTCCCCGCAGTACTTGACCTTCAAGCCCAGCCAGCCCTCTGGATGAGCATCCGTTGCCGGCGCCATGATCACGGTCGGCATGCGCCTGACGGCGTTTTCCTTCGTCTGAGGCGGGAGCGCAAACTCGTAGTTCTCGATGAGCGTCGCGGCTATCGCCTGGATCTCGATGATCGCGAAGCGCCAACCTAGGTCGAAGCTCAGCATCAGGCTATTCCAATGACGACAGTATATGGGCTTACCTATGCAGCCACGGACACCGGCAGCTAGAGAAAAAAATCATTGCTTAGCCACACAAATGGTATGTGACAACAAACATACTCACAGAATGTAAGTAGGTTCGCGTAAAGACCGACTGGGGTCATTCCAGACTTGTCAAGTTTCGAGAACCGATCCGGGTTGAATTCGTCCGCGTCGGCACCCCACACCTCAGGGTTTCTAACGTCAAGGGAGTCAGTTTCTGTAAAGAGCAGTGCACACTGTAGTCCGCACCGGTTGTAAGACCCGATGTTGATGTGAATCTCTTGACCCTTTTTGACTGGAATCGAAGTGATGGCTTTGCCGGACTTGCCGATGATTGGGTTTGCGAGCGGTATCACGTCGTCTTGACCAGCCTTGCGCTCGAGTGACGGGACGATAGGATGCAAACGCATAGCTTCCTTTAACGTCGCGTGCATGACAGACATTCCCTCCAGATCAGCCAAAGAGAAGCCGGACTCGCCGGCATCTGCGAGCTTGCGGCGCACGGCACGGATTTCCTCGCGCACGCGCCTCTGCCAGTCAGGGTGGCGCGCGAGTTCCAAAAGCCAGAAGCTCAGAGTAGAGGATGACGTATCGTGCCCGGCCTGCATCGATGATCAGCGCTCAGCCATGATCAGAGAAAGACGCATGCCACGTACAAGTATGATGTTGCTGCGAAGAGGAGTTAGCGTCGACCTGACCTGGGACAAAGGATGTCGCTCACGAGATCTGGTCGATGAGCTCGATATCGCTCAGCTTCAGGCTCGCCTCTTCGGCTCCATTGGCACGCAGTAGCACGCTCATAACGTCCTTCGCAGCCGCTTCGTTGTCGACCTGAGCTTGTGATACAAGCTCACGACCGAACTTGCGGAGGTAGTCCAGGTAGTCGCGGAAGCGGCGAGACTCGCGGTTTGGGAGGTAGCGCATGTACCACAGAACCGATGCAGGGATGTAGCGCCAAAGGGAGCGGAAGACGAGGAACCAGCGTGCCGGATAGAGGTTACCTTCCAGGCTGTCTCGAAGATGAGCTTCATTGTCATCGCTGGAGCACATGAGGTTTGTCATTATAACTCACAAAAGCCCCTCGTATGCCGCAGCAAGTTCGCTCTTCTTGTTATTCAAAGAACCGAATTGGAAACCGAACCCGACTGTCGAGCCCATACTCAACACGGTTGCCGTATCCGATAAGACGTATGAAGGACTTACCCTCGCCAATGACGTCGAGCGTCGTACGAGACAGCCACGAGTAAACGTTGATGACGGGCTCAACAGCACCCTGACCAGGCGTGATCTCCTCTTCTTTCCACTTTTGTACTAGCTAGCAATGGACCCATACTTAGCATATTGCCGTATCGTATGAAGCACGACACGAACCTTTTCCGCGTAACCCAAGAAGACCGGCAGGAAGGACTTGAGCTGAGGAACAGAGAACGCGGGGTTCATGATTTTCCTATGCTTGCGATGTTGATCGCCTGCACCAGATCAGCCACATTCATTACGAAGCGTGCAATGTGAGACTATACTGACCTTGGGCCCAAAGAATTCCGTCACCGAAGATCATGTGGATCTCGCCTTGAGAGATAGCGTTCTTAGGGAAACGATACCCGGACGTCTGCAGGACATACTGCAAGCCTTTCGGGTCTGCGAGCATCAGACGTTCACCCTTTGAGGACCGTCAGCGCAGTCTTTGAGCCTGATGCATGTCATGCTCTTCACGTACACCAAGAGGGTCGTGAATCTTCCAGGCTCCACCGTACTTCTTGAGCCATTGAAACTCGAGTTCGCCAACCTCACGTTGATATTTGTAGTCGCCAATGTTACCTTGATAGAGAACATCATTAGTGCTTGAAACCATGTCAATCAAAGCGCAATACGGGCGAACCTGTCCAGAAGGACGAGCTTCGCGGCCCGCGGATGTCCTTGAGCGTGGAACCACGGATATAGCGGATGGCCACGATCGCAGCCAGGAGAATCCCTGCTGCTATCCAGTACAGAAGTGACGGCGGAGAAGTATCGAGGGGTGCCATCAGGTTGGCTTTCAGAGACATTGCAGAGTGCATTATATACTCTGTCGATCAGCGCCCAATTTAGCGTGTTTGCTGGGCCGTGATGCATGTGAACTATTGACCAATGGGTCGTCAGCACTCCGCATCGTGTAGATGATGGCCTTCTGCGCGAATTTCGTCGACGATCGGAGAAGTTAGGTTGATCCACTTCGATACTGTGTCGGTAACGCCAGCAGCGTAAGCGATAGGAGCTGGACGTCCGGATCGCGAGCACCCGCTTCGTGTTGTTGCATCAACATTGTTTTGGTAGCGAAACATATCGAGCAGTGATGCAGTTTACGTAATATACACGTTGGCGTGTCAGCGGCGAACTGCAGCGTGGTTAGTAAAGCCTTTGAAGCCCAATGATGACGCGAAAGCTGTTACTCGCCATCTCGGATGGCTGCATGCGATGCTGGAGTCGGACTTGTTGATCCATGCAGATGAGCTTCCTGAAACGAATCCGATGAGACTTTTACCTTCCCACGTAAACCGCAGCAACCCGATATACATGAAGGTCAGAGTCACTCTATTGGCCTTACCCTCGCCCATCGAAGACGAATATTCGTTCTTTCTCGGGCCACTATTAGCACCTGCAAGAGGCGCCCGCATGTTGCAACATTTATGCTTGAGGCAGAGATGCTGCTAAACTCCTGGTGACGATTGACGAATGTGGATAAGGGAAAATGAAGTCCTCATAGGCGACCAAGCCACGATTCCGCGCAAAGGGACGATACTGTGCATCGGGAGTGCTGTTCGGCAACTTAGGGTGCTTCGTCTGAGCTCGAGCGTTGAAGAATTGTGACTCTCGGCGACATGGAGTTCGGAGCCAGGCAACGCGCATTCGCGCCTGTGCGCGGCAATGCGGTGACGCGTCGCGTCGGCAACTCAATCAATGACCACCGCCTGAGTGGAACATTCTGCTCGTCATGAGACGAGTACACTGGGCAGTAAGGTGCACAGATGCTAAGGAGAGTTCGTTTTGCAACAATGAGAGCGCATGAGCGCAGAGAGTAGGCTCGCGCTCGCGCTCTGAGCGCGACGCGTTCGGGGCGCGTTTCAGACATCGGGCCGCGAAGGCCGAGTGATTGAAGCGCGGTCAGGTGAGAATCTTCTTCGAGAAGACGCGCGCGGAGATCTTCGCGTCGTCTCATCAATGGACTAAATCTGAAGCAACCACGCGTGCTCTCCGAAGCAAGCCTAGCGCAAGAGTGCCCGTAAAGGTCCGGGTCTTGTCCAGAATATGGTTGGCGTGTGTTATTGTCGCTTGTTGACGTCGCCGCCCGAGATATGCAACGACCCATCCTGAGGGCGCGGTAGTTATGTTTAGCGGTTCATCTCAGTCTACACAGCGTGTTCTCTAATACAAGTAAGTATGCACATGGAGATCTGATGCAAGGAAAACATATCATGGTACAAGCTGCACTTGCGTAAATCGACTGTGTGTATCATGATCATTACGGTGAGTCCGCATCGGTGCTCATCAGTTGCGGCACTCTGTCCTTTGAGTAGTGACACCACGACTAGCATTTCAAGTATGCAATTATAGAATTGTTCCGCTACGCGATGAAGGGGAGTCCACGAGACGGGGCTAAGGTCGTGGTCGTCGCCGGTATCGCGTGGTTCATGATGAATACCATCTTCGCCGCGTTCTCGTTGATGTTTGCATACATCGACGCCGTCAGCAAGACGTAGACGCAGAAGATGTACGCGTTCCAGCATATCGGGCAGTAATTTGCGTTCCGAAACATGTTGATCTGCTGCACGGTGGATATGCTCACTGAGGGTCGTGCTTGGACCCGTGGCCGGCAATGGAGCTCTGTGGACTGCGCTCGGACTATACACTGAAACGACAAGAGCTGTCAAGTAGCATTAGCCTCTACCGTGAAGGGGAGCTACCACACAGGGTCGTGGACTGTAGTAGCGTGGACCATGTGCATTGGCAGTCGGCGACGGTACAAATACTCAAGTGCGAGCGTGCCGCTCTCAGCTCACGACGAGCAGCTCCGCTCTTCTTTCCGCTCCCCGCCGCGCGCCCCATCCCTTGTCTGCATACACACGTCAAACAATGCCCACTATTGTCATTGGCGACTTCTCCTTCCCTCTTGAGATGCTAGTCGGCGGGAAGAAGGAGTCTAAACCCAGTTTCCTGGAGAAATGGGATTTGGTCAGTCCCTATCTTGCAATCCTAGAAGGCGACGCACTGACTCATCAATTCCAGGATTTTCAGCAGTTTTGCAACTCCTACATCCCGGACGACACGCAGATGTTGGATGACGGTGTTGATGCGGCGGGCGGTGATGGCTACACGGCGGGCACGGGGATCACGAACGAGGAACTCGCTCAGCTCCAGTTGGATATCCACGCCGCACCTAAGAAGTATCACAGGGCGTCGGTAACGCGTATGACTGAAGCGAACAAGGTCAAAAAAGCCGGGCCTGTCCGTGTCAAACATGCGCCCGAAGACGCGTTCTTCTCTGCGCTCGACGGCACAGGAGTCGATGGCAAGATTTGGGGTTCTTCTCTCTCAAAGAGCCCCTCTCGGTCTTTCCGAGACCAGTTTGGGCTGCTCGCCGACGCCTTGGACCTCAACCCCGTCCATCCTGTCCCCGCGCCAGCCCCGGCTGCGAAGTCTGCAATCAAACCAGGCTGCACGACCACTTGGCCGCTTTTCAACACGTCCCACGCCCATTCCGAAGTATCCGAGGCATTCATGGACTGGACCCCGGTGGAGACAGCCTTCGGGCAGGGCGCGGGCTTGTCTTCATCTTCGGGCTCTTCGTCTATCCAGCAGCAGCCAATCAACAACACTTTCAGCGGGAATGCCTCTCCGGAGACCACTGCGCCATACGACATCATACACAGCCCGGCATCCATCGGCGGAGAGACCGCGACGAACACGCAGACTCAGAGTACGATGTCATGGGCACAGGAGGCAGCGATTCGCAACATCCTCCCGTCTGAATTACGCGTGCTTCCCACCGAACGCAGGGAAGGTGTCGCCCGCGCCGAATCCGACGACAACACGCTTCAATCCCGCGTCGAAGATCTCATCGCCAAGGGGGGGCTGTTGCCGGACCAGCACGACGACTGGCTCGGCATCGTTCGCAAGAATAATGACGATGACAGGCTCCATCGTCACACCGCGTTCGAGGTCCAGTTGCCTATCGATGTCCAGATCAGCCTCGAGCGCCTTCGTTACGCTATTTACCGATATAAGAAGTTCAGGGTCCCTTTGATCGCTTATTTCTCCCCGAGCGGAGAGAAGAACGTCTTCAGGTGCCCGATCTGCACCGACGAGATCAGGGGGCTTCGGTCGTTCATGCGCCACATCGAGAGCACCAAACACCTCAGCATCATCTACCTCTGCAACCACGAGCCGTGCGCGACGAACAAACAGTCGTGTCGGGTTATTGATTTCCGCGCGTCGGGTTTAAATAAGCACTTGAAGGAGGCACATAGGGTGGGCTCTATCCTCAAGAAGGACAAGAGGATGAGCGCTGAGGCCTGAGGTGAAGGGCGAGGAGTATTAGGAGAAGAAAGAGTATATGCATGGGCGAGATACCTTTAAGGGTCTTCCTTAGACATCGCGGGCCGTACGTTTTCGACTATGCTACGATGAGTATGCTATGACTTGGAATATGCTTCCGCGGAGATATGACTTGCTTTTTTACTATGTGCATCCGAGTGCAGGAGAATCAACTAAGATGGGTAGTAGCCGAAGCGCTCAAGGTCCCCACGCTTACCAGTCCATGGAGAGCTGGTGATGGTGCACGATCAAAGGGGCATGGTCAACGCGTAAGTTAAGCTTCAGTGCGTGGGAAATCGTCGGAAATCAGCGGCAATCATCTCCTGCCACCCGCGGCCTTGCGCGGGACGAACTCGCTTTGCAAGATCCGAATCTTATTCCCCTAAGCATAGTGTACTTTCTGAAGGCACAAGTGCAGCTGAGAGCGCTGATGGTCCGAAGGGAGAGAACGGGGGATGGCAGGGCAAGCCCATGTCGGGCCGATAACCGCCGCCGCGCGCGGACATCAAACGCGTTTTCAAACCTAAGGGAAACGGCGAACCCTGGTCTTACGGTAAGAGGTACTATTTACAGTGAATCGTGAAGATACCTGTAGCTGACTTTCACGGCCGACGCGCAGTGCTGATCCGCAGAACAACTGGCGATCATCGTCCCATGGCCTCGGCGATCATCTCTTCGTCTTCGAACGTATCGTCCTCGTTCCAAAAATCGTCTTTATATTCGTCTTCGTCAACCACGCGCACGATGACTTTGCCATTCTGCTTTGACGGCCCCGCAGCGACCGGAGTGGTATGCACGCGATTCGTCGCGGTCGCCACAGATCCGCCCGCACGCGCCGTCGTTCGGCTGGGAGTTCGGGGAGTTGACGCCGCAGAGGCCCGAGATGTAGCAGTGGGTGGCGCGCTGGCTGAGGGCATAGACGCACGCACAGGCGTCGACGGATTCTGTGGCTGCAAAGCTGGGGCAGATGCCGGCTGCGGGTTGGATGTCGAGCTTGGCTGAGATGGCGTGGAAGCGGATGGGCCACTCGTCGCAGTGCCTGGACCGGGAAGTGGCGCGTGTAGTGCAGCCATGATCCCTTGCCGGGAGAGCTTCCCCCTATTCCATTGCTGGGTGCTGCCACCGCCCTCAGTCTTCGGCATGGTCTCCTGCTCCCTCGCCGTGATAGTCATCTGACTGATCGCCTGAGTCGTAGCGGTGACGTTCGCGGCTGGTGCTGCAGCCTCAGACGTGAGCCCTAACGCGCCACCAACGTCGATATGCACGGTCTCGCTCTTCCTCTTCTTCTCCTGCTCTTCAACCCGTCTCTCCGCGCTCGCCCTCCGCTGTGCCCAATCATTGAGTGTGTCCGGTTCAGCAGCGCTCTCAGGCAGGTCCGCTCCGGTACTAGCGAGCTTATCTGCAATGTCATTGCCGACCCTGTGTATTCCTTGCTTCGCATGCCCGGGCACGTGTTCTAGCTTTGCAGGCTGAGCTCGTAGAGCCTGAAGCGCGACCATGTAACGGATCATGTCCAGGTTCTTGATCTCTTCGCCATTTGGTTTTTTCCACCCATGCTTGCGCCAGTTGACGATCCAAAGGAAACCTAAGAGGAGGAATGTCAATGAGGAGTACGGTCTTAGAATAGCGATAATAGTCCGTACATTTGAGTGAGTAATCAGAATCTGATAAGATCTTCAGGGGTCGCGAGTCTGAACTCGTATACTCCAAGGTTCGAATGATGGCCTTTACATCATGTTAGGAAACCTAGCGTCTCAACAATGACAAAATGGTGACTCGTACAAGTAGCTCAGCGTAGTTATTGGTCATTCCGTTCGCCAAGCGACGCGAGATATCCCTGTGTCGCAAGCGTACAATGAGTATACAGTGAATGATTGCATCAGAGCGCTCATAGCTTACCCAGGAACACCAGCGGGACGACCTGCGGCCCAGTGTATACCGTACCCTGCCCTTCGGGAGGCTTGTGACTGATTGTTTCGCGACGAACCGTCTGTGTATGCGATGATTATCGGTCCAGGAGCAGCTGGATATCTCGCGATGGTGCTCAAAGAAGAAGTAGCAGGGGCAGTAAGCGTATTAGTCGTTGATGACGTGACCAATTTTCTGCCCCGCTCCGTGGTAGCCGTAGGAACTAAGGGCGGAGACGGAGGGCGAGCCTGGCGTGGAGGTGCAGACACTGTATGGTTTGAAGTCGGTATGGCCGAGGGTGCAGGACGCGTGGCGGATGTAGGAGCCGGTTCGGACTTCGCCGCCACAGTCTCCAGAGCTGCTCGCGTATGCTGGCGCGGCTTCGACGTCTCTTCTTTTGAAACTGGGGCTGAGGCAGTGGCCGCAGGGGCCCGAGAAGTTCCTGCTCGCCACTTGCCCTTCTCTGACGAAGTGTAGCGGCGGTCGTCTGGCCTCCCTACGCCTGTCTCCACTTTCGCCATTGACCAGGTCTTTGCGTCCACTTCTACGACCTCTTCCTTTTTTACCCGCACGTCCTCCCTTTTCACTCTGCCACTCGCATTTCGATCCATGGCGTGCTCCCACTCGGCTTCGGCTGCTGCACCCAGTCTCGCCTTTGCTTTGGCGGCCTCTTTGATGCGCGCACGGCGCAAGAGCTCCTCAAGTTCGCGCACTCCCGGGATGCCATCGTCTGAGTCCTCCGCGTCCATCGTCATATCCCAAGCGGGCGCAGTAGTCCCGACGGTATGTTTCCCCACGTTCTCCCGGGATGTGGGTGCATTGAGCTCCAGCTCAAGAGCATTCAGCAAAGGCACGCGAGTAGCCTGATAATTCGATGTGGTCATTTGGGCAGAAGCTTTAAGGGCGTCCTTCGCGGCGTAGCCCTCGAGCCACAACTCGGCTGCTTCGCGAGTGCTGTGTTTCTTGTAGATCGCTCCTTCGAAGTCCTTCACTTGCTTGAGGACCTCGCGCCTACGTCGCAAAAGGCGCACAGATCATGTTGTAGTCGCAGATACGAGGGTGATAGGGCCACGCGGGGCACAGCGCAAGGGCCAACGTCGGGATCCAACGAGCGGTAGCGGCAAAGCGTAGATGATGCGACAGATCATAATTTCAAGTGAGAGCGCGTTCACAGCGCACACAGCACGCGGCGTACCAAGTCAGAAAGATACCACGCTGGCGACCAACATGAACGGCGAATACTGCGCCTTCGGTGTGCGTTCTCGTCTGGACCATGGTCGGCATCGAGGTTTGGCAAGCTTGAACGATGTGGAGGTTCGGATTCAAGTGGCGTGGGATGTCTCAGCGTGCCGATCAACACGATCGATCGGGCGCTTGATTGCGGTGCACCCAGGCGTCTACATGAGTACACAATCGAGAGGCGCCCTCTCCGAGCCGCCGCACGCCGCGGCATCGCCGCTCTTCCCCTCCACCATGATGTTTACTGTGTAATTCAGTCCATATTTGACGCTCAGCACATATTGCTCCCTGATAGACCTTCTCCTTACCGGCCCGGGTTTATCGTACGCGACCCACAGCTGAGGATGACGACCCTCGTCTCCTCAACGCCCCCTCTGCCGCGGGCGTACACCGGTTGCGGCTGACTCCTTTCATGAAGATGCGTTTCCGGGGGCGCTTGTCTCGGGCTGCTGCTCTGTCTCGGATATGGAATACCAGACTCCTGAGTTTGGCAGACGTTGCCACCTCACGACGCAGGCTCAAATATTGAGCCCGCACCCAGCAATTATCGAGCTGCTATTGAGCACACCGGCATGGGTCATGTACAAGTATGCCTGCACTGCAAATAGTCGCACTTATGGATGACGGGAAGATACATAAATGATGCTCATAGACCACCCTAGGCCGAACACTCCTAACGCAACTACACCAGGCTCTTCCGAGTCATCTTCCCTCTGCATAGTCTCGGATACGCTCAAGCCCCTACACCACCGACTATTTAAGCAGCAAGTCGACACCTCTTCAAACCATCTTACAATCCATATTCAACTCCTCATCTTCAAACATAAACACCTTCATCATGTTCTCTACTCGCCTTTACACCATCGTGTTCCTCGCCGTTGGCGTCGCAGTCGAGGCGGTCCCCGCTCCGTAAGCATTCATATCTATGAGATACTGTATGCGATACTGACATTTGGACAGGATGAAGCGCACGGACGCAACTCCCGCCCTGGTGGCGCGCGAGCCTCAGTTTTCCGCAAACATCCCCAACAACATCCCCGTCTCCGGCACGTTCCCGAACGGCATCACTATCACACCGCAGACGCCTTCGGGAAGTATCATCACGGGCAACAACAACTCTACTCTTTTCGGCCAGTTCGGCTTCAAGCGCGATGGCGACCTCGACGCCCGCCAGTTCAACTTCACGCTCCCGAACCAACTTCCCGTCGCGGGCACGCTGCCCTTCGGGCTTACTGTGACGCAGGGCGCTCAGAACAGTACCGTTGGTCTACCCTCGGGTTTCCCATTCAAGCGCGACGGTGACTTCGATGCTCGTCAATTCAACTTTACGCTGCCCAACCAACTTCCCGTCGAGGGTACACTCCCGTTCGGTCTCACCGTCACGCAGGGTGCTCAGAACAGCACTGTCGGTCTGCCCGCGGGTTTCCCGTTCAAGCGTGATGGCGACGTCGAGGCCCGCCAATTCAACTTTACCCTGCCCAACCAACTGCCCGTCGCCGGAGAATTGCCCTTCGGCCTCACTGTTACCCAAGGAGCGCAGAACAGCACGGTCGGCCTTCCTGCGGGCTTCCCCTTCAAGCGTGATCTCGACGCTCGCCAATTCAACTTCACGCTCCCTAACCAGCTCCCTGTCGCTGGCACGCTGCCCTTCGGCCTAACCGTCACTCAAGGCGCACAGAACAGCACCGTTGGCCTTCCCTCAGGCTTCCCGTTCAAGCGCGAGGACGGTGTCGAGGCGAGGCAGTTCAACTTCACGCTTCCGAACCAGCTTCCCGTTCAGGGCACTCTTCCGTTCGGTTTGACGGTTACGCAGGGGTCGCAGAACAGCACTGTCGGTCTCCCCTCGGGCTTCCCGTTCTAGATTTCGGTCTTCCTTAATACGCATAATGATACCCATGCGCTGGCGCCCTGGAATTGTTTACTATACCCAAGTCAAGACTCAATGCTGCATTGTATTCTGTACATATAGCGACCCTAGAGTGCTGCGTTAGAAAACCATTTTGGATACAGTCCCTGTGCCAGCTACAGTCGAGCTGCAGTGTCACGTATAGCAACATGTCTCCATAAGACGCCCAGAATAGCTGCCACACGTCGGCGAATGGCCCACTCCCTCACGCGCATCTGAGGCTTCTGAGCGCACCTCGACTTTCCGGTCAACAGATGCTCGTACGGGCGACGGCAACGAAGGCATTGCTATTGCGTCAACCCACTGCCGGTTCTTAGGTACGCCGCGCAATTCGCCTCTGGGCAAGGTGTTTTCTCTGCGAGAGGTGCTACATGGACTGCATCTGCTAGTGGTGTCCACTGTCCAGCTGGCAGAACCCGAAAGTCGCGCGCCGATCGAGCGCCCGGCCCGCGCGCACACCGCACTTGACCACGACGCTCATCCGCTACAAGAGCATCGCGGTAAAGCCTCGTTTTGTCTTTGTTTAGCATCGCGACCACACTCAATGCCGGCTAGGAGAGTGCTACTGTAGAGCATTGGTCGCCATCGATAGGCCGTTCTCCCGCTGACGGGGTGTCATAGGATATTTACCTAACGCTCGAAAAACCATTTCCTTCGTTCGCCACACCTATGGCCAACTTATGCAAGACGATCTTGAGATGGAGTATACGTCTGCGAAAAGCACGATACTCATGCTCGTAAGTACAAGCGGAACAGTCATATCAGCGCCCATGGACACAGCCTCTGTCTATTCGATAAGCTGCCAGTTGCTATGGCACCGTGACTTCGTTTCAGTCCCAACGTTCGTCTGCCGTGTCGACTTGGTGTCGACAGATGTCCGTCCATCCCGGACGGGCGCGATTTCTCGCCCGGTTCAATTATACTCGGAGCAGAAACATGATCGCCGTTTACGGACGTGATTGTTCGACAGTGGACACCGCATTCATTCTGACAGCATGCCAATGCGTGACCCTCGGCGCAAAGCCATTATAGCTGTACTATTCAATCAACACTTTATTGCTGCCGCCAAAGACCGCTTCGCATGCCACTTACGCCACTGTCACTGTCACCGCCACTGCCATTTCGGCGATGATTTCGCCGGTCCTCGGGCAGTCGTGTCTCATTTATCGGGGCAAGTGCTACACACAATCACCGCTGGGGTTCATACTCGTCCTAAGGCTTACTGTCGGGTGGACATAGCCTTTGACCTGAATGCACCTTACATCCCGCGTATGCGGGTCTACGTCAAGTGGTTGACAGCCGGGAGTGACTGCTCGCCGGAGAGCGCGTATACGACGGCTTCCTACAGTATTTCCGCGGTACCTTCTATCTGGTGGGGTACTGACGATTACTGGCTATAAAAGGGCCCCTCCACGTTCGTATCTCGTTAACGCCTTTCCTCGACGTGCTCCTTCACTCCTCTTGTCTGACCCTTCGCCTCCACAGTACGCATATTCTCCACCGCACTTGTCAGTGCAATGGGTGATCACCATTGCTAAGCATCATTGACGGTTCATTTTGTTGCCAGATCATCTATATACCATGGGATGGTTCGACCGCGATGGCTCTGTCACTCGCTTTTTTGAGAAGCTACCCGTCGCCGGTCACATCGTCGCCGGAGTTCATATACTCGCCGGCAATAGTGAGCACGCGAAGCGCGCTGCAGCAACGTCAACCAACTCGCTCATCACGGTGGCCGCTACTGCTGGTGGCTTCTGCGTGGGTGGCCCTGTTGGTGCGGCGGTAGGCGCTGCTATCGGTTCAAGTGCGGGCATCGCGACGGAATACGGAATAAGCAAGACGATTACGGACGCGGAAGTTAAAGGCGATGTTGGCGATATTAGTGTCAGTCGTATAGTGACCGAAGTCGCTCTCAGCGCCGTTGGTGGAGCGCTAATGGCGGGTTCGGGCACCGCCGCTGCATCTGGAG